ACTGAGGGTTGCGATCCGTTGCCGGACATGGAAAAAAAGACAAAAGACAAAAAAAAAAACCTTGCTGGGCCTCAGTTTTCTTATCTGTACAATGGGGATAATAATACCTATGTTCTAGGATCATTGTGAGGTTTAAAGGAGATATCTCATACTGTGCCTGGCACATAGCAGCGGTCTAACGAGTGGTCACTGTCATGATCATGTCCCCCTTAGTCTTCTCTCTCTTCCTAACCCCTCTGGGGCCACATGCCTGGTGCCTTACACCTCTGCCCACCCCCACGGTGCTCATGCCTCTGTTGCTCTCTTCTCAGGGGCCTGGTGGCAGCCCTCAAGCTTCTCCCCTGCATTACGATGCTCCCGTAAGCCACTGGGAGAAGCTGCACATCTCCAGGCTCAATAAGCATTATCTTCCAGGTGGAAGTGTGGGGACGAAATTCCAACGCCATGAATGCTTCTAGTCACTGGATAAAGCCCAGATCTTCCATGTTTATGTGACTATGAATTCTTTGTATCTTTGAATCCCCAACAAGCATGCAATTTCCAGATGGAAACTATCCTTAAATTATAGTTTTTCCCAACCAAGTATGTGGCAAACATACCTGTTCCTCCCTTGTGTTTATGAAAACGAGATGTGAAGATTTGTCTTCACAGAAAAGTTTTGCATCCTCAAAAATTTCTTTTTTAACCAAAAAATAGTAGCATTTGTCTGTGAAGTTCTTCCAGTGAGGTGGGCAGCCTGGGAACGCAGAGGTGTAAAACATTAATTAAAAAATCCCGGAAAGCACTCTGCCTTTCTTCAGCTATGTTTAAGACACCAAAATGATGGCCCTGCCAGGTGCAGCCCCAGTATGTCGTGGCTGATGTCCACGACATGCTCAGAGCAAGGACTAATCCAGAGACGTGGACAGCAGGGCGCACAGTAGTTAAATCCACATGATCTGGAAAATATCTGTGACTGGGTCTTTGTTCCTCTGCATCTGGATTAGTCTTTACAATGACAGAAATAACTGAAACAACAACAAAAAGCAGGCCAGCAACAGATGTTCAACGTCTGTCTGGAATCACATGGAACGTATAAACAACTGGATGTGAGAACCCAGAACCAAAACCAGGCCACAGAGCAACAAAGATAACCTGAATCTTCTAGGAGGAAATCAGGTGGAATTGAGGTTGGGTAAGGAGAGAAAAATAGGCTTGGNAAACCAGGCCACAGAGCAACAAAGATAACCTGAATCTTCTAGGAGGAAATCAGGTGGAATTGAGGTTGGGTAAGGAGAGAAAAATAGGCTTGGTTGCTAATCAAACATGAGAGTTTTGCCAAAGGTTTAATTATCAAATGACTAGAAGACACTCTTGCACCTTCCCAAGGAGAAATTAAATCCAGGCATGCATAACAGAAAGTTCCATCTGCATGTTGATGTAGTTATCCGAGGGAATTGTCTTTCCCCAGGGTGAAGAGTAGGAGCTGAGGACAGGACAGGGCAGGGTTTGGGAGCCCTTTGTCTTCTGAGGGCCCGACTCCTCTAAATAAACAAGCACTAGAGAACCTGATCATGTTTGGAGAGAAACTCATGTGCCTGGTGACACAACCTGGTACACAGGCCTGTGACAGCATCAGGCCCCGCCCCCCCAGGATGCTTTCAAGGCCAAATAAAATGGGGGGCACACAGGGCTGGCCCAGATACCAGCCCACACACTGCCCACACCCCATTAGGAGGAAGGGCTCAGACTTACCATTGGCTTCTGGTGCCGAGGTTGGCTCGTTCTGCAGAGCCAGGGGCACTACTGCCCCTGATGGGCCTGGGGGCCCTGGGGGACCCTTGGGGCCCGGCATGCCTGGCACCCCGGGCAAGCCTGGCAATCCCCGTGGTCCTGGCACTCCAGGCTCCCCTACAGTGCCCTGTAGTCCCTGGAAGCCAGGAGGGCCCTGGGGGCCAGGAAGTCCATCCTTGCCTGGTGGGCCCTGGGGGCCTGGGTCCCCACTTGGGCCTTGAGGGCCGGGCTTCCCAGGGGACCCTCGGGAGCCTTTGGGGCCCTGCGAGCCTTTGGAGCCTTTGCTGCCACGCTCTCCAGGGGGGCCAGCAGGCCCAGTTGGGCCTCTCTCACCGGCAGGGCCAGGTGGACCAGGCTCCCCCTTCTCTCCTTTCTGTCCCTTGTTGCCAGTTGGACCAGGGGGTCCCTGGGGTCCTCTGTCACCTTTCGGACCCCTGGGGCCAGGAGGACCTAAAACATAAAAAAAAAAAAAAA